ATCAAGGGAACCAGAAACTCAAAAGGAGAAAGTTAACATAACAACTCTATAAATATATACTTGCCCTCTTCTGTTGTCTGCTTCCTTAACAGACAAACAATTTAATTGTATGGAGTAGTAATTATAACAATGCATTGTGGGGTTTTACAACATGTAGAGGTAGTGTGTACAACATTAATAGCGCAATAATAACAATAATTGTACAAAAGGGGAAGGGGAAATGAGTTTATAGAAGTCACATTTTTATATGTCATTAAAATTAAGGCTGAATAAATCTGAAGTAGATTCTAAGGTAAGATGTATATGTTCAGCCCTAGAGTAACCACTAAGGAAATAACTCAAAAAAATATATTGAAAAAACCATTAAAGGAATTAAAATGTTATACTATAAAACAGTCACTTCATGCATAGGAAGCAGTAAAGGGAGAATAGAGAAACAACAAAAAAGACACCAGATATAGAAAAACAAAAGTAAAATGGTGGGTGCCATGTTGTTAAAATGACAATCCTCCCCAAATGGATCTAAAGATTCAATTCAGTCCCTATCAAAATCCAAGCTGGCTTCTTTGCAGAAATTGACAAGCTGATCCTAAAATCATATGAAAACTCAAGGGATTCAGGCCAACCTTTTTTTTATTTTAAAAAAGAAGATCAAGCCGAAACCGGTTTGGCTCAGTGGTAGAGCGTGGTCTGAGGACTGAAGGGTCCCAGGTTCAATTCCGGTCAAGGGCATGTACATTGGTTGCGGGCACATCCCCAGTAGGGGGTGTGCAAGAGGCGGCTGGTCGATGTTTCTCTCTCATCAACGTTTCTAGCTCTCTATCTCTTTCCCTTCCTCTCTGTAAAAAATCAATAAAATATATTTTAAAAAATAAATAAAATAAAAAATAAAAAAATAAAAAAGATCAAGCCCTGGCCAGTTTGGTTCAGTGGATAGAGCGTCAGCCTGTGGACTGAGGGGTCCCAGGTTTGATTCCAGCCAAGGGCACATGCCTGGGTTGTGGACTTAATCCCCAGTAAGAGATGTGTAGGAGGCAGCACTTCTTAGTTGGGATTCAGGAATCTGTAGTTTAACAACTCCATCAGGTGATTCTCATCATGAGAGAAGTTTGGGAAACACTGACTCTAAGTGATATAGGCTGCGGGAGGTGCAGCAAGTAAATAAAGCTTGATCAGGTGCATGTAATTGAGTAGATTCCAAATCTGAGAGAACATTGTAAACATCTTGACCTTACTTTGCCTTGTGGAATCTGGCTATAAAATAAATGCTTGCAGGCTGTGGCGCTGTCTCTCCATCAGAGGGCAGCGTCCCACCAAGCCCCAGCTTTATTCTTTTGTCTGTCTCTCCAACCTTCACCACCCCCTCTCAGGTCCACCCACAGCTGAACACATATATATATATATTTTTAAAAGACAGCCTGGCTGGTGTGGCTCAGTAGTTGAGCATCAACCTATGAACCAGAAGGTCACAGTTCAATTCCCTATCTGTGCACGTGTCTGGGTTGCAGCTCAGGCCCCAGTTGGGGGCGGGGGGGGGGGGGGGTGTGGAGAAAGTGGGGAGGAGAAGGCAGTTAAGGCAGTGGATGGATGTTTGTCTCTCACCAATGTTTCTATCTCTCTATCCCTCTCCCTTCCTCTCTCTAAAATCTAATTTGATAAAGTCCAACTTATTAAAGATAAGTTGGACTTCATCAAAATTAAAAATGTTTGTGCCTCAAAGAAACCAATTGAGAAAGTGAAAGAGGGCTCTAGCCCAGTGGTCGGCAAACAGCGGCTCGTGAGCCACATGCGGCCCTCTGGCCCCTTGAGTGTGGCTCTTCCACAAAATACCACCTGCGGGCACGCACATACAGTGCGATTAAAACTTCGTGGCCCATGTGCAGAAGTCAGTTTTCGGCCTGGGCGAGTCTATTTTGAAGAAGTGGTTCTAACGCTGAGCCACACTCAAGGGCCAAAGAGCCGATTGTGGCTCTCGAGCTTCGGTTTGCCAACCACTGCTCTAGCCGGTTTGGCTCAGTGGATAAAGCATCAGCCTGCAGACTGAAGGGTCCCAGGTTCAATTCCAGCTAAGGACCCATGCCTGGGTTGCAGGCTCGATTCCCAGTAAGAGGTGTGCAGGAGGTAGGGGTGTGCAGGAGGCAGGTGACCAATGATTCTCTCTCATCATTGATGTTTCTATCTCTCTATCTCTCTCCCTTCCTCTCTGAAATCAATAAAAATATGTGGGTGGGTTTTTTTTTTTAAGTTGTTCATTAAAAAATAAAGTGAAAGAAGGAAATTAAAAAAAAAAAAAAAAAGTCCTAGCTGGTTTAGCTCAATGGACAAAGCATCGGCCTACAGGTTCGATTCTGGTCAATGGCAGGTACCTCAGCTGCAGGCTCCATCCCTGCCCAGCCCTGGTCAGGCCCTTAAGAGAGGCAACCAATCTATGTGTCTTTCTGTCTCTCCTCCTCCCTTCCACTCACTCTAAAAATCAATTGAAAAATATCCTTAGGTGAGGATGAGCAAACAAACAAAAATAAAATAAAGATTTAAAAAATGTTTTAAGAAAATGAAAAGTGCCGAAACCAGTTTGGCTCAGTGGTAGAGCATTGGTCTGTGGACTGAAAGGTCCCAGGTTCGATTCCGGTCAAGGGCATGTACCTTGGTTGCGGGCACATCCCAGGTAGGGGGTGTGCAAGAGGCAGCTGGTCAATGTTTCTCTCTCATCGACGTTTCTAACTCTCTCTCTCTCCCTTCCTATCTGTAAAAAATCAATAAAATATATTTTAGAGAAAAAAAGAAAGAAAAGTTCATTCTTTAAAAAAAGAAAATGAAAAGTGATGGGGGGGTGTGGGCTAGAAGGGGGTCAATGGGGAGTGGTGGAAGGGGGACATCTGTAAAACTTTCAACAATAAAGATAAATTTTAAAAAAGAAAGTGAAGCTGACACTGGCTTGGCTCAGTGGATAGAGCTTTGGCCTGCGGACTGAAGGGTCCTAGATTTGATTCCAGTCAAGGGCATGTGCCTTGGCTGTGGACACATCCCCAGTGAGGATGTGCAGGAGGCAGCTGATGGGTGTTTCTAACTCTCAATCTCTCCCTTCCTCTCTGTAAAAAATAAATAAAATATATTTTTTAAAAGTGAAAAGATAACTCACAGCTGAAACCGGTTTGGCTCAGTGGTAGAGCGTCTGTCTGCGGGCTGAAGGATCCCAGGTTTGATTCCAGTCAAGGGCATGTACCTTGGTTGTGGGCACATCCCCAGTAGGTTGATGTTTCTCTCTCCCTTCCTCTCTGTAAAAAATCAATAAAAAAATATTTTTTTAAAAAGAAAAAAGAAAAAAAAAGATAACTCACAGAATGAAAAAAGTGTATCTGATAAGGAACTATGTATCCATAGAACATATAAAGAACTCTTACAACTCAATAATTTTTTAAAAATATTTTTATTGACTTTTTACAGAGAGGAAGAAAGAGGGATAGAGAGCTAGAAACATCATGAGAGAGAAACATCAATCAGCTGCCTCCTGCACACCCCCTACGGGGGAAGTGCCCCCAACCAAGGTACATGCCCTTGACCGGAATCGAACCCGGGACCCCTCAGTCGGCAAACTGACGAATGGGTAAACAAGATATATTTATACGATAGGATATTATTCAGCAGTAACTAGAAATGAAGTATTAAGCCATGCTCCACCATGGATGAACCTTCAAGACGTTAAGTGATAGAAACCAATCACAAAAGACCTCCTTTTGTCTGGTTACAATAATGTAAGAAATCTGGAATAGGCAAGACATGGAGGCAGAAAACAGATTCCTACCAGAGTTGTCTAGGGCTGGGGAAGGGGAGACATGGAGGGACTGCTACCTATGAGGGGCTTCTTTTGTGGATGCTGGAAATGTTCTAAATTTTATGGTGATGGCTGCACAGCTGTGTATATACTAAGTATATGAACGTGTCTGGGAATAAATGGTAGTTAATGCCAGTGAGTTGTATGGTATGTGAACTATGTGTCAATGAAGCTATTAATTACTTAATTAGGAAAAAAAATAGAAAAATGCTAACTGGGCTCAGTTGTCACCTTCTCCCAGAGTTGCCTCCCCGCCTCTTCCCCCACCTCTGCCCAATAAACCTTCCAATTTATCCTCTTTCCTCTGTTTTTCTTCACAGCCTGAAATCGTGAAGTGTTTTTGGTTCTTTTTATTCCATCTTCCGGTCTCTCCTCCAGGAGAGACTCTTTTTGCCAGAGCCTCTCAAAAGTTGGGGCTGCACCTCGGCCAGTTCTAGCGCCCCCACTCCCTCCCTCCTCCCCCCACGATGCCCAGGATCTGTAATGGAGGCAAGGAGACAGGGTTTGAATCTCTGCTACTATGAAACACAAACAGATCCCCATAATAATAGTAACAACTAGCATTCTAGCGCTTAATGAACGTTACCACTTGTTAATTGCTCTGTGTCTGGCGTTTTACATGGGTTATCCCATCTAATTATTGTCACATTTCTAGGAGAAACACAGTGATATTATTCCCATTCACAGATAAGAATTCTCAGATCTGTGGCTTGAGACCTCCGTAACACACCTCCTGGAAAGGCGTCGCCATCATAACATAAAATCACGCCCACTCTAGATATTTATACTTAGGCTGTGGCGGGGTGGGGGGAGAGGGGACAGAAGGGGGAATGAAAATGCTGTAACTCGCCACTGATGTCTCTCCCGGGGCCTACCACTCCCAGCGTGCTGCGCGCGCCTATGCAACCTTACGGCCGCGGCGGAACAGGAGGGACCATCCGCGTTGCCTCTTGGGAGTTGTAGTCTAGTCGCTAAGGAAGACGGGGCTGTAAAGAGATTGGTGTATCTAGAACCAATGAGGAAACAGATGTGGTTGAGCGCGGGGCCAAGAAGCCAATGGGCCCGCGGCTTCGAGAGGGCGGGACTTCCTGTAACGAAGCCGTGGTGAGCGGCTGTGCGAGAGGAGACACTTCCTTTTGTGGGTGGTGGCGAACGCGGGGAGCACGCCATGAAGGCCTCGGGAACGGTAAGGCGGCCGCGACAAGGGAGGGGGCCGGGGAGTGCGTCGCGAATCGAATGGGGGACCCAGGAGGGGTTGTGGGCCGAGTCGGTAGTGCGCGCTCCCGGATGGGGCCCGTGCAGTGCGTGCGGCTGCCCTGAGCTGCAGCCAACATGGCGGCCACTCTGGGCGCCGCGTGGGGAGGCCGGTTCTTGATCCGGGCCCGTTCGGGGATCGCGGGGTCGGAGGCTGGAGACCGACTTTTTTTTTTTTTCCCACGTTGCACATTGTGGAGGCTCTTGCCGCCAGACCTCGTTGAGTCTCGGATAGTGAACCTGGTTCTGGGGGAGGCAGTAGTGTTCCCATGTTAACCAGTTTGGTTGTGAGAAACAGAAGAAAGCTATAAACTCGAATGGACGAGATTGCGAGCCTTGTCGCTGTGGCAAGTGCTGGGCAAAATCAGGGCGCTATGATGCAGGGATGGGAGAGTGGGTCCGGGGAATTACAGGGCGGGGGCGAGGGGGGGGCCTCATGTACAGCTCTCCAGCCTCAGTTTCCACGCTGGAAAGGGATTGCGTGTCGGTCCCTTTAAGGGCGTGTGATCCGCGAGGTTAACACGTTGAGCGCCCTGACAGTCACCGGTGACGGACACTTACTTTCCGTCCGGAAGACAAAACCGGCTGGGCGCTTAACGTGTTAATGTGGAAGTACCGTAGGAGCCGAGTTTGCAATATTTGGGGTTATCTTCTGCTGATTTTAATAAGATGATGGCGAGTCATTTAGGTAGGTGACTCTTGTCTACCATATCGCAGGCTTGGATTTGGCAGACAACGCAACCTTAGCATTCATGTAGACAGGGAACCCAAATCTCCTTGGGCATCTGGGGAAATGCAGGCGGCTACAAGCAGCTGGCAGCAGTGCTGGGAGCCCAGGGCTGGAGAGGAAACTGGGTGCTACCTGGAGGGGCTGTGAGATCCCAGGCCGGTCAGTGTCTCTGAGTGAACTTTGGTAGGATGTTTGTGAGCTGCAGAGAGCTGTGGATGAAGAAGGTTGCCGGGTTATTCTGAGGCTGCAAGTCCCGGCCTCCATTTTGCCACAAGTATAAAGACAAAGTGGGGTTGATAATCCTGCCCACTTTTCTCGCGCCAAGACAGAGGGCACCCTGCCCTTACTTTTATGGGGAAGGCTGGACAGTGAGGTGAACACAATCGTGGAAGCCCAGGCCTGGGGCATCACAAGTCTTGGGAAAGAGCGAGGCATCTCCACAGTTGCCTGGTTGCTGGTCCTACCTCACCCCTGGTTCGGTTTCAGCTTCGAGAGTACAAAGTGGTGGGGCGCTGCCTGCCCACCCCCAAGTGCCACACGCCACCCCTCTACCGCATGCGCATCTTTGCACCTAACCATGTTGTCGCCAAGTCCCGCTTCTGGTACTTTGTGTCTCAGCTGAAGAAGATGAAGAAGTCCTCGGGGGAGATCGTCTACTGCGGGCAGGTATGGAGTGGCCAGGACGGGCGGGGTCTGGAGTGGCTCTGCACCTCCCAGCAGGCAGGCCTGGCCTCCCAGGGCTGTGGGCTTCAGAGCCCCGGTCCTGTTCACGGGGGTAGTTCAGGCCCTAGATCCCAATAGGATGGGTGAATCAGTGCTCTTCTCTTACCGAGAAAGCCCAAGGCCTGGGATGGGGTGGCTGTTGCGCTGGGAGAGAGCTGAGGTCACCGCCTTCCCTGGGCCTCACCTGTGAAGAGGAAAAGGTGCCGTCGCCATGATGGGCACTGGACTCTTCGTCGTGTGGCTACCTGGTGGCAGCTGGTCTTCAGCTGCTTCCTGGAGAGTTGGTTTGGGAGGAGTTGGGACCTATGCTGGTCCCGTGAGGAAAGTGGCCTGGACTGCTCTGAACAGCAGGTTGCCCTCAGATGTCTGAAGGTTCAGGGGCTATCCTTGGGACAGCAAGGGCAGAAGTATTTGCCCGGTGAGGGTAGGAGTGGGGTGGAGGCCCGTTCACTACTCTCTCCTCAGCCAGTCTCCTTTGGCAGGTGTTTGAAAAATCCCCCCTTCGCGTAAAGAACTTCGGCATCTGGCTGCGCTACGACTCCCGCAGCGGCACCCACAACATGTACCGCGAGTACCGGGACCTGACCACCGCCGGCGCCGTCACCCAGTGCTGTAAGCCTCTGCCACAGCCCGTCCGTCCTTTCAGTCACCCTGACATCTGCAGCTCAGTCTGATGCCCTCACTGAGGCAGGACAAATGCAAGAGCCTTTGCTGGGTGGGGGGAGATCCAGGGATGCTGATGGGAGTTTGCTTAGGGTGTAGAGAGGGGGAGGATATCCCAGGAACACCTTTTCCTGGAACCTCGCAGCAAGGGGGCTTTTGGGGCCAGTGTCTGGTATAGATGCAGCTCCCACCCGTACCCGCGTCCAGCCCCTGCCCTGCCCTGCCCTGTCCTGTCCTGTCTCAGGACCTGTAGTGGCCCAAGGTGCTCCCAGGCTGGGCCACCTGTCGGCTGAAACCCAAGCACCTAAACCCAAGAACTGCTGCTTGTTGTAGCAGCCGTTGAAACAGGTGCTGACAGCAAGCGGATCTTGTCGCCTTTGGGGGCTGTGACTGTGCCCCTCAAAGTGAATTGGAAGGTTCTACACTCCTGGTGGCCAGAGTTGGGTCTCCTGGGCAAGCACCCAGGGGGTTTGGGGGACACCCAGACACCTTCGTGCCTGTTCACCCTGCAGACCGCGACATGGGGGCCCGGCACCGAGCCCGCGCCCACTCCATCCAGATCATGAAGGTGGAGGAGATCGCCGCCAGCAAGTGCCGCCGACCGGCGGTCAAGCAGTTCCACGTGAGTGCGCTGGGCCCTGCTGGACTAGGGGGCTCCCCAGCCTTGGGTCTGACGCAGGAGCCCAGTGGGGCATGTCCACGCTTCTGTAGACCTTTCAAAGGACTGAGGTTAAGAGGCTCCCCCCCCTCACCTGCCTCTCTCTGTCACAGGACTCCAAGATCAAGTTCCCGCTGCCGCACCGCGTCCTTCGTCGCCAGCACAAGCCACGCTTCACCACCAAGAGGCCCAACACCTTCTTTTAAATGCCGCCCCTTGGTCTGCCCAAATAAACTCTACAGGAAAGCCGGGGTGCTCACACTCACTTGGTTTTTTTTGCACACCCTGCAAAACTCAAGATGCACAGCAGAGCTGCTCTGAGAGGGCTGTTATTGCGCAAGTGGGGCCCAGACAGCAGGACCCTCAGAAGGGGTGCCGGGAGTCCCAGGAATAGCGAGGGTCTCGCCCCCAATCTCTCCTGCCCGCTCAGTTCCTTGAGCCTTTGTCCAGCCAGGAGCTGTCACGGGTGGGGTCCTGGTGTGAGGGCCGAGTTTTCAGTCCCATCCGGCAGCCCTCGCTGTGAGCTTTGAGGCGCATTGTAGAGCACAGGCTTGGCCTCCAAATCTACCACAGGCCTCCGTTTCCCCCATTCTGGTGGCGAGATGTGGGGGAGATCAGGATAATTAGGCTGGTTCTACCTGGGACCTCCCCTCCTGGCCCAGAACCTGGTTCTTGATTCCAAGATTTTTCCAGGGTGTTCGAGGGCATTTGTCTCCAGGAAACCACTTAAACCTGGAAAACATGCAGGCATGAAGCTAATACCACCCTGACTGAGCCAGGCCTTGGGAGTGCCTGTCCTTAATGTGTCTCCTCGGTCCCTCTGAGCACTGGTGTCCAGGCCACCTACCACATTTGCTCCGCAATGCAGGGTGCAAGCACCAGAGGCACAGGCTGGGCAGGACCCATGGGTCAGGAGGGAGCCCAAGGGCACAAAGGCAGAATGCCAGTCCTAGCAGGGACAGCTACTGTCCCACAGAGGAGGGGTAGTGCGAGAAAACCAGGTCGCCTTAAACCCACCTGTGGAGAGGCCAGATCCCAGGCACAGCCTGTGGACAGCCCCCATTCTTGGGTAAGACCAGCCTGAGGAGCCCCAGGCCCGGGTTTCTGAGTTCCTCGGGTACTTTACCTGCTGAGTCAATGCTGAGCCCTCTACCTGGGCTGCTCTCCACAGATCATCACCAGGCCCGCCTCTAATGTTTCTGAGCCATATGTCCACTCAGATGACTTTGCTTTCAACCCCCACCAGACAGTCACTGCTCCCAGCAGAGCTATGTTTGTGGGAATCTAGAAAAGGGCAGGTGACTAATGAATATTCTACCTGTGTGTGTCTGCAGCACATGGGATAACTTAATTGCTGGGCCAGGTGCTTGATTTGGGCACTGCCAGAATACCCTCTATAAATGCGTCTATATCCAACAGCATTAAGGGATCTTGGCCTGGCCAGTGTTGCTCAGTGGTTGAACTGTTCAATTCCTGGTGAGGGCAGGGTTGTGGGCCCCAGTAGGGGACATGCAGGAAGCAGCCAATTGATTCATTGGTGGTTAAATCTCTGAATTCAAATACATATTTAAAAAAGAAAATCCTGGTTTTTCCCAACTTTGTCAGCACTGGTGGGTTAGTAAACTGATGACTAACAATCATTTTAGGATTGGCTTTTTATAAAGCAGGTATATCTCCCCACCTCCCACACACATAAATTCATTTGTATGATCTTGGCTCATTGGGCTGCTAGTTACAGATCTGTAAAACCTTGGGAGAAAAAGCTTCCCATGTTGCCAACACGTTTGCCTTGTGGGTTTCATTCACCTATTATGGTTTCCGGCAAAAACTAGTTTCCCCAAATGTTCCTCCACTCCCTCAGTAACAGGCTCACCATATCTAGATGCCACCCAGAAAGTTTCCCAGCCTCCCTTGCAATTAGGAGTGGCCATGTAATAGCAGCAATGATGTGTGTCACTAACAGGAAGTACCCTTACAATTGGTATATTGCCACAATGCCCACTCCAACAGCCATCATTGGACACAAGCCACACCAGCAACAAGGTGGGAAGAGCTAGGTCACTCCTCGTGGCCTGGAGCAAGTCACTGCCTACTCTGAGCCCTCGGTCCTGTTATGTGATGTAATGCTGATCCCTCAGTTCTGGGGATAGGAGGCTTCAGATAAGCCAGAAGTTGAGCCTTGAGGATGTACTGCCAGGAATGTCGAAGTTCAGCATCCCACAAAGGCCCACTGGGCACCTCATCACCTTGGGGTCCCACCGAGGCACCATCCATGTTACGGCCTGGGAACCAGTTGGGAGGGCTTTGCCCCCACTAGCCAAGGTGCGGGGCCAATCCCATTATTGAGGAGCCTTGAGCTGAGGATGGTAAGCCCGGCTTCTATCTTCAACCTGCTCATCCACTCGTCCTGCCGTTTGTTCATCCTCTTACTACCGTGTAACCACCCCCCTGCCAGTTCCCCTCAAACCCTGCGAAGAGCAGCTGGTGGGACTGGCTGGAGGTGAAGGCCACTAAACCAAGGGTGCTGTGCCGGAACCACCGGGAGCAAAGGCCGGAATTGGGAGGAAATGGGGCCCTTGAGGCAGGATGGTCCTTGGATTGCTGACACCACTGGTCCACTCAGAGGCCGACAGTCCACCCTTCCCACGGACCCGGGGGGCTGAGGCTTCCCGGACCCATTCCTGGGCATGTCCAGGTGCCAGATGTCACGCCTGGGCAAGGCTGGGAGCCCTGGAGGAGACAGAACCCCTCCCTGACCCACCCTGCACCCAGCTCCTGAGTTAGGTGCCACGGGTAGGTACCAAGGCAAGAAGAGTGGGGGCCCCAGGAGACCCAGAGACTTGAGAATCAGGATCCTAAGGTTCTCAAGACTAGATCCCCAACTTCAACTGGATGCCCCTGGGCTCTGGCTGCATAGCTCAGCTGGTTAGAGCATCGTCTCAATAAGCCAAGGCTTCCGGTTCAATCCCCAGTCAGGGCACACAGAATCAATGTGTGCCCTGATAAATGAAATAAAAATCCACATCCCCCACCAAGACTCAGATCCCCTAGTGGCCCTCCCTGCCCGGCTCCTTTCCCCCAGCCCGGCTCATTCTCTGCCTATAAGTCTCCACTCTCCACCCAGAATGTGCCCCACCCACAGGCCCCGCATAATGGCTGCCCCAGGCCATCATTTTTGTCACCCAATCGCTTCTGAGATGAGCATTCACCTGCTGGCTGGGTCAGTGTCCTGATCCTGTGTGCCCAGTGGGCCCACCTGGTCCCCAGTGCTCGGTGCAGGGCCTTGTGCACAGCAGCAGGTACTGTGTGAACAGGCCTTCGCCCAGGTATCAGGCTGTGGTTGGGTCCCCACCCCCCCTCCAGGGTAGGGTAGGGGAAGACTCATGCTGACACCAAATGGTACCCCTTCCAGGAACCTCCCTGGGGAGACAGGTTTGCATATGTTGTAATTGGTTTGCATGACTTTTCGGGAAGAGATCCCTGCCGGATTTCCCCTTTCCCCAGCAGGTTTTCCAGGATGATGTCACACCTGGGCCTGGAAAACTAATGGAGGTGGAAGGAGAGGAGCTGGTGTCCTCCACAGCCTCCCCACTAGAGCGGAGGGGGCAAGCCAGCGAGCCACAGATGGCCACGTGACAGTTGCAGTGTCGGAGCAGGGGCCTACACATCACATATATAATGAGAAGCGAGTCCCGGGGACACTCGTGAATTACCACCCCCTCCACCCACACACACTGGACTCAGCTGGGGCGGTGCATGTAGGCCAGAGGGGGCCACCAGGGGGCGACAGAGGCCGGTGAGGACTGCGGTTTGGGGTGGGTGCTAGCATTCCACCTGCGGATTTTTAGGTCCCGCCCCCTCACGGAGGAAGGTACCCAGCTTTTCTTTTTTTTTCTTTTTTTTTTTTTTTTTAATATATTTTTATTGATTTTATACAGAGAGGAAGAGAGAGAGAGATAATCAGAAACATCGATGAGAGAGAATCATCGATCAGCTGCCTCTTTGCACACCCCCTACTGGAGATGTGCCCGCAACCGAGGTACATGCCCTTGACCGGAATCGAACCCGGGACCATTCAGTCCCCAAGCCGACGCTCTATCCATTGAGCCAAACCAGTCTCGGCGCAAGGTACCCAGCTTTTCGAGGGCGAATCAGAGCCACCAGAGCCCAAAGTCCTTTCTGGGTCCCCCAGCGAAGGGCCCCCAAATGACCTTGATGGCATGACCCCAGGCAAGGGACTTCTCGTCTCAGTGTCCTCAGCTGTGTGGTGGGCACACGCCTGACGTCACCACTCATTCGGGGTCACGGCCACTGACAGCCCCTCGCACGACCTTCATGGTGCGGTGTGCCCGACACAGGCTTTGTGTGTGTTTGACAAGGAGCCAGAGAAAAGGTTAAGAAAGGAATGAAAAGGCTCTTGGTCTGCGCCAGGTTGGTGTTACGCGGGCTCCCTGAGGCAGGGCCTCCTTCCTCCCTCTGTACAGATGGGGAAGCGGTCCGAGAGGCCACCTCTCCCGGTGCATATGCACCAAGGACCTGGCCCCGAAGGGAAGGTGACCAGACGTCCCGCTTTTGGCGGGACAGTCCCGATTTCTAGCAATTTGTCCTGCGTTCCGCGCGGCGTTTGAAAAAAAAGTCCCGATTTTTAAAAACAAAAACAAAAAACGGGACTTTTTTTTTAAACGCCGCGGGACAAATTGTTCAAAATCGGGACGTGCCGAGACCGGTTTGGCTCAGTGGATAGAGCGTCGGCCTGCGGACTGAAAGGTCCCAGGTTCGATTCCTGTCAAGGGCATGTACCTTGGTTGCGGGCACATCCCTGGTAGGAGGTGTGCAGGAGGCAGATGGTCGATGTTTCTCTCTCATCGATGTTTCTAGCTCTCTATCTCTCTCCCTTCCTCTCTTCTAAAAATCAATAAAATATATTTTTTTAAAAATCGGGACGTCCGGTCACCTTACCCAGAGTGTTCCCTGCGGCTCAGTCCCAGGGTGGGGCTCGGCGATGCGCTCCTGCTGGGCTCTAAAAGGAGAGTCCAATTGGAGAAGGGGTTTAGGGGAGTCCAGCTCTCCTTAGGGGACCCCCAGCCTGGAAGGTGAACCCCAGTCCCGTGGAGAGTGCGCTCCGCGGAGCTCAGAGCCCCTTCAGCCAGCCCGGCCCCCTGCAGACACTCATGTGACCGGCCCGTCCAGGGAGGAAAGGGTGCAGGCAGGTCTGGGGGCGGAGTTTGGCTGACCTGGGCGGGAGCCTCGTAAATCCGCAGCCCGCGGGCCCGGGGCCGCCCCTTCCAGCCTCGCCCGGACCCCCTGCCGTCCGCACCGAGCGCGCCTCGCCGGGAGCGGGAGCAGGACGGAGCCTTGGCCGCAGCCGACGGAGGGGGAGGCGAGGTGGACCGACAGACAGACAGGCAGGCGGACAGACAGACGGGCAGGCGGACGGACGGACAGACAGACAGAAGGACAGACAGGCAGACGGACGGACAGGCAGGCAGACGGACAGGCAGGCAGGCAGACGGGCGGGCGGGCAGGCGGGTAGGTGGGGTGACGGACGGACAGACTGACAGAAGGACAGACAAGCAGCCAGACGGATAGACAGGCAGATAGGCAGGCAGGCAGGCAGGCAGGCAGACGGCGGAGGCACCCGCGTGGACGGAGAGGAGAGCCCGGGAGGCAGCGGACCACCAGGACCCGGAGGGAAACGGCGTGCGCCCCGCGGAGGAGGCCGAGCATCCTCCCGCCGCCGCCCGTCCCAGCCCGGCCGCCGCCGACCTCTGGGCGGGCGGGGTGGCGCCCGGTCCCGCACCTGCACTCCCCCATGGCCGCCGTCGGGGCGGGGGCGCGGGCCACGTTCGGGGCCTGGGACTACGCGGTGTTCGCGCTCATGCTCCTCGTGTCCATGGGCATCGGGCTGTGGGTGGGGCTGGCGCGGGGCGGGCAGCGCAGCGCCGAGGACTTCTTCACCGGGGGCCGGCGCCTGGCCGCCCTGCCCGTGGGCCTCTCGCTGGCCGCCAGCTTCATGTCGGCCGTGCAGGTGCTGGGCGTGCCCGCCGAGGCCTACCGCTACGGCCTCAAGTTCCTCTGGATGTGCCTGGGCCAGCTGCTCAACTCCCTGCTGACGGCCGCCTTCTACCTGCCCGTCTTCTACCGCCTGGGCCTCACCAGCACCTACCAGGTACTGACTGGGCAGAGGCCGGAGCTGGCCCGCTGGCCGGGAGCGCGGGGGTGCCTGGGGGGAGCCCTGGGGCTTTGGGCTGCTGTGCAGGGCACACAGAGGGGCTCCTTGGCGCTCTGTGCCCGCCCCTGCCCTGTAGGCACCCAGGTGGGCAGGCTTCTGGGAAGAGGCCCCAGGCAGTGGGCCAGGGGCAGGAAGGAGGAAGAGCCGGTGTTCTGGTTCTCTTCTTCGGTGGAAGCCCGCAGGGGGTGGGGCCCTGTTTGCACTCACCTGTGGACAGGCACACACCTGCCCCCGGCATGTCCCAGCATGCAGACGCCCGAGTGCCGTCGGAGGGCGGGCTGGAGATTCCAAACCTGGCTTCCCCTCTGTCTCCCACTCTGAGCTCAGAGTTCCCATGTGTCCAACCCGGCTAATTGCAGGACCTTCCTTAGGCGGTGGGAGAAGTGATTAAAATCGAGGCTAGTAACTGTTGGCCACGAGTGTGTGTGTGGTGAGGGGACGTGTACACACATGCCACGGGCACAGGCATGGAGGTGGTGGGTGTGCACAAGTGTGTGAGGGCTGGTGGGAATGTGCGCCCTTGGTCAAGGTTCCCACGGACAAGAGTGCCGAGAGCAAAGCTGTCCTCTGGAGAGAGGGCAGGAGGCACGGGGGCGGGGGCAGGACCCCAGAGGTCCCGCGCCCCGAGGTAGGACCTGTGCAGGTGACCAGAGCACTGGCTCCTTCTTGCAGTACCTGGAGCTTCGTTTCAGCCGAGCTGTGCGGCTCTGTGGGACCCTGCAGTACCTGATGGCCACAGTGAGCGGCCTGGGCCCCGCCCTCTCCCGCAGGGTCCCGCCTGCGTCCGCCCCGCCCACAACCCTCCTCCATCCTTCACCACCTCTCCCCGTGGGCCCCATCTCCACCCAGCAAGGCTCTGCCCATTCACTCAGGTCTACTGGCCTCCCGCTTCTGCCAGACCTGACCCGACCTGACCCAGCCCCAACTTGCATGGCCCCGCCCACCTGCCTCCTCTCTGCCCCAAACACTCTCCTTCTCCCATCTCTGGATTCATCCCCAGGCACCACAACTGCCACCCTACCTCCCGCTCCCCCCTGCAGGTGCTATACACGGGCATCGTGATCTACGCCCCTGCACTCATCCTGAACCAAGGTTTGGCCCTGGGAGGTCAGGGGAGGCTGCCTGGGGTGCGGCGAAGGCTTACAGGGTCTACCAGAGGCGGTGGCAGGGGCTGTCCCAGGGCCACGTGGGAGGGAAGACTCCTGGAGAGAAGAGAGCCCAAGACACTGGAGTCCAGATTGGCACCCCACTTGGTGGCCTAATGGGGGGATTTCCTTGAACAGTGACCGGGCTGGACATCTGGGGGTCACTCCTGTCCACTGGAATCATCTGCACCTTGTACACCACTGTGGTGAGTGACCCCTGCCCCCTCGGACCCCACTGGGGAGCTTCAGGCCCGCTGGAGAGGGGAGACCCTGGGCTGGCTGTCTATCCTCCTTCCTATTCCTTCCTCCTGAGAAAACCCAGTGTCAGCTGGGCCTGCTTCCTCGTCTTTATAATGAAAGAATGAAATAATGAAAGACTATGTGAAAGGCTTATGGGTTAGGGCTCAGGGATAAGGCAGCTTCAGGACTGGCTCGATCCAGGGGCTACAACAGGGTCCTCTGTGTACCTCTGCCGCCTCTAGGGTTCCATCAGCTCCGAGCATCCCTCCCTTTGGCAGGAAGTGAGTTCCTATCTCAGGATGGGCTGGCTAAAGGCCAGGAGGGCTCTGTGTGGCCGACTCTGGTCTTGTGCGCAGAGTGAGCAGAGGTTTGGGGGGCTGGGATCTTCCTTTTTTAAATGGAATTTATTGAGGTGACACTGGTTAATGAAAGTATATAGGTTTCAGGGGTACACTTCTATAATGCATCTTCTGTATGCCATATTGTGTGTTCACCGGCCCAAGTCTCCTTCCATCCCCACTCATCCCCCCTCCCCCCCATGCCCTCTTCCCCTTCTCCCACTCCCTTCCTCTTCCGTCATCGCCATGTTGTTGTCTGTGTCTATGAGGTTTTTGGGTTTTTTTTGTTTTTGTTTTTCTTAATCCCTTCCCCTTTTGGGGTTTGGATATTCTAATTGGCTATTCTTGGAGCTGGGAGCAGGCTTGGCCTCACCTGACCAGGCTATGAGGGAAAAGGGGCTTCTCCACAGGAAAATGCAGGGGCTGCCATGGGAATGTAAAAGCAGGGAGGCTGGGAGGGTAAACACGGCAAGTAATAATAATGGTAATAATTAATAACAATAATAATAAATATAATAGCAGCCATCACTCACTCACTGAGCACTTCTGTGTGCCATTCCAAATATTTTTCTCATATTAACTAGTTTAATTCTTACATCACCCTAAGGAGAGTACTGTTATTTGTTTTAATTGATTCTAGAGAGAGGAAAGGAGAGGAGAGAGAGAGAGAGAGAGAAACATCCATCAGTTGCCTCCCGAACACACCCCGACAGAAGATCCAACCCCTGCCCCAACTGGGAATCAAACTCGCCACTTTTCCTTGTATGGGACGGCACTCCAACCTACTGAGCCACACCAGCCAGGGCAGGAGAGTACTGTTATTAACCCTACTTTATAGATTGGAAACTGAGGCAGAAAGGGGCATTGGTCCCAGCTACTGCTGGAGGCCAGGCCAGACTGGCCCCAGCCAGGTCTCCTATCTGCTCCCTCTTTGCCTCCCTCTGTCCTGTCTTGCAGGCCCCAGACAGGTCTCTGTCTGACCCCCTCTCTCCCTCTCTGTCACATCCTGCAGGGCGGCATGAAGGCTGTGATCTGGACTGATGTGTTCCAGGTTGTGGTGATGCTGGCTGGCTTCTGGGTTGTCCTGGTTCGTGGGACCATGCTTGGGGGCGGGCCCAGGCAGGTGTTCAAGCTTGCCCAGAACCACTCCCGGATCAACCTGTTGGAGTGAGTGAAAATGTAGGGGGGATAATGTAAATAGATGGAGCAGGCATCCCTCTCCCCTGGAAGTAGCCAGCCAGTGCCTACTACTCCAGGAAGACTACCCTGATTCCCTCCCCAGGCTCCCCAAAAACAGCACCCCGGCTCCCCTTCTCTATACTCCCCTTCCCCCACCTCCAAACAGACTGGGAACTAAAGGTTCTCTAGGGTCCCAGGTGGGCACAGGAAGAATGGTTTTGGAGCACAAACACAGATGACTCAGTAAACAAATACATAATTTTCAATCAGGCAAACTCCTACTCACACTTCAAAACCCATCCCAAATGTTCCCTTAAGGCCCTGAAGGGTAATAGCCATCTGGGGCCCTTGGGAAAGGGAATTCAGCGTGGTATCCCCACATGGATGGCTTGCCTTGCCCTCCTCCAGCTTTGACCCAGACCCACGGAGCCGGTACACATTCTGGACTCTTTCGGTGGGCGGCACGCTGGTGTGGCTCTCCATGTACGGCGTGAACCAAGCACAGGTGCAGCGCTATGTGGGCTGCCGCACAGAGAAGCAGGCCAAGCTGTAAGTGTTTGGGGGAGGGGAGGGGAGGCGGGATGGGGATCTCTAGGATGCACATCCCCCCCGCATCCCCGCATCCCTAGCCTGAGGCACCCCTCCCCCCAGGGCCCTGCTCATCAACCAGGTGGGCCTGTTCCTGATTGTGTCCAGCGCTGCTGCTTGTGGCATCGTCATGTTCACACTCTACATGGACTGCGACCCTCTCCTCACAGGGCGTATTTCTGCCCCCGACCAGGTGAGTGTGGCCCAAGCTCCCAGGCTACTCCTGACCCCGCCCGCCCCCACTCTGAATCTCCACATGGACGAATCTCTGGGGGTGATGATAGGAGAGCTTTCCTAGCAGCCTGTGCAAAGGTGCAGAAGCAGGAGAGAGCTTGGCTCAGAGGAGGACCTGGGGGGCAATGAGGAGCCATGGTGGATGTGAGCAGGAGAGGGGCACATCCAGATCCAGAGTCAGACGCCCTGAGGGGCATCAGGGAGAAGATGGGACTGTGGTCCGATGCAGTGATGGTGCTGATGTTAACAATGATGACCAGCTCCCGTGTCCCACCCGCCGACCCTGTGCCTCACGCTGTTCCCTCCCTTCACAAGCAGTGAGTGTCCCCTCACGTCCTTCCCTATGTGATAAGGCCGAGGATGTCACGGTGCCCACTTTACAGATGAGCAAACTGAGGCTGGAGGGGGTAGAGGCAACTGTCTAAGGTCCGCAGGCAAGTCAAGGGCAGCTCTAGCCACAGGGTACAGGGTGGACAGAGGCTGCAAGGCTGTTGCATCTGCCATCCTCTGGGGTCAGAATCCTGACTGCCCGACTGCAACCTCAGGCAGGGCTGCATCTTTCAGCCTCACTGTCCTCGTCCATAAAGCGATGACACGGGGCTCTGTGCATGGCGGGGGCTCAGTGGCAATCACAGGTGCATCCATCAACAAACACACACTGAGTGCCCACTGTGAGCCCAGCCTGCACTGGGTGCTGGGGCCATGCAGGGTGAGGGCAGACAGAAGCCCCAGCCTCTGGGTGCTCCTGTCCTGGAGGCTGACCCCCACCTCCCCCCAGTACATGCCCCTGCTAGTGCTGGACATCTTCAAGGACATGCCCGGCGTCCCTGGCCTCTTTCTGGCCTGTGCCTACAGCGGCACCCTCAGGTGAGTGGCCCTGCTTGCTCACCCCACATGTCCGAGCCGCTCAGAGCCCTGTCCCTGCCAGCCGCCCCCCTTCGGGATAGGACGCTCTGGACCCTGTCTGCCATTTACAGTTCCTGCTCGGTTCCCAGCAGGCAGACCAGGTGGGTCTGGCAGCGTGTGGTCTTCCCCTCAGTCCCGGGCAGCCACATCTGGCTCCCCTTTCTTCCTTCTCTCCACCCTTCTTCCCCAGACAAATGTCTATGGAGAGCTACTCTGTTGTAAAGCTGCTGTTTTACATCCTGGGGGCACCGCCGTGACCTCTCAGTCCCCCTCTCCTGCCCTCAGGGGCCTCACATCCTGGTGGTCTTATGTCTCCCATAACTTCTGGCCACAGGGTGACCAGAGTCCCAGGTGGCAGTTCTCTGCACCCCATTACTCTCTGTAACAAGAGCTTGTGTCATCTGTGTCCCTGGTTATGGGGATCCCTGCTCGTGTGTGTGTGTGTGTGTGTGTGTGTGTGTGTGTGTGTGTGTGTGTGGAGGGGCGGGGGGGGGGATCTCAAGTCTGTGGAGTGGGGTGGGGTAGGCATCTTCTCCACTCTCTGGGGAGTCCATGCCTCTGCCGCGGCTAGGTGGGGTCCTGGCAGGTGAGATGGTATGGCCAGCCTCTGGGTATGGGCTGACCGCACACTCCCCTCCCCGCCGGCCCCAGCACCGCATCCACCAGCATCAACGCCATGGCCGCGGTCACGGTGGAGGACCTCATCAAGCCGCGGCTGCCCGGCCTGGCCCCCCGCAAGCTCGTCTTCGTCTCCAAGGGGCTCTGTGAGTTGGGGGGTCGGGGTGGGGGGCCAGGGAGCCTCTCCTCGCTGACGGTGCCCCCCTCGCTGCAGCGCTCATTTACGGCTCGGCCTGCATCTCCGTGGCGGCTCTGTCTTCGCTGCTGGGGGGCGGGGTCCTCCAGGTGAGCCCTCGCCCCAGAGGTCAGGGCGGCCCCACTCTCTCTGGGCTCCGTCTGCCACCAGCCGCCTGGGAGGCGGTGGGGGGAGGGGAGGCGGTGGGGCGAGGGGAAACGGTGGCCTGGGGCAGGAAGAGACTGGATGTGGGATCGATCGCATCCGCATCCCTTAGGGGAGAGAATGGACATCTTTGCCTCCAACCCAGGGGAGACAGTAACAGGCTTCCCCTCCCTGGGGAAACTGAGGCACAGCAGAAGCTCAGGCCCGCAGGGGGGATTCCCAGCGGGTAAACTGAGGCTGGGGAGGCGGGTGGCTCTGCCCTCAGCCACACACACACCCCCTACCGCTCCGCAGGGCTCCTTCACTGTCATGGGCGTCCTCAGCGGCCCCCTCCTCGGAGCCTTCTCCCTGGGGATCTTCCTCCCCGCGAGCAACACGCCGGTGTGTGCGGCCGCCGGGGGCGGGGCTGGGCCAGCCCGGGGCGGGGCCGGGGCGGGGCCAGTCGCTCCCAGGCTGACTCGCTCCGCCCCCAGGGCGTCCTCTCCGGGCTGCTGGCCGGCCTGGTCGTCTCCCTGTGGGTGGCCGTGGGCGCCACGCTGTACCCGCCCACAGCGAAGAGCATGGGGGTGCTGCCGGCCTCCGCGGCGGGCTGTGCGGGCCCCTCCGCCAACGCCTCTGGCCTCCTGGGCCCGCTCCTCATCGCCAACGCCTCCGGGGGGGCCACCAGGTGAGACCATGTGGTCAAGAGGGGACCCTAACCTGAGTCCCAATGAGGAGGAGGACGGGCGTGGTCAGAGGTGAGGAAAGGGCGTTCCCAGCTGAGGGACCGAGGGGTCCCAGGTTCAAATCAGTGCACTGGCTAAGGTGAGGCTGCAGTGGATTTAAAGGGGGAAGAAAGAATAGGACACGAGGTCCACCGGAGGAATTTGGTCTGATTTATTTATTTATTATTTTTTAAAAATATATTTTATTGATTTTTTTACAGAGAGGAAGGGAGAGAGATAGAGAGCCAGAAATGTCGATGAGAGAGAAACATCGACCAGCTGCCTCTTGCACACCCCCTACCGGGGACATGCCGCAACCAATGTACATGCCCCTGACCGGAATCAAACCTGGGACCTTTCAGTCTGCAGACCGATGCTCTACCACTGAGCCAAACCGGTTTCAGCCGATTTTTTTTTTTAATTAACAACTGTCTTCCATATTTTCTTTTATTGATAGTATATATATATATATATATATATATATATATATTTGTTGAATTCAGAGAGGAAGAGAGAGGGAGAGAGAGATAGAAACATCAATGATGAAAGAGAATCATTGGTCGGCTGCCTCCTGCACAGCCCCTTCGGGGATGGAGCCCACAACCTGGGCATCTGCCTCTGCCCTCGGCTGGAATCAAACCTGAGACCCTTCAGTCCACAGGCTGATGCTCTATTCTCTGAGCCAAACCAGCTAGGGCTTTGTGGTCTGATTTTTTTCATAGTGACATCATTTACAGACCATAAAATTAATCATTTAGGCCCAGCCGGTGTGGCTCTGTGGTTGAGAGTCGACCTATGAACCAACCAGGAGGTCACAGCGGGGTTCTTGGCTTCCCAATCAGGCACATGCCCAGGTTGCAGGCTCAATCCCCAGTAGGGGCCGTGCAGGAGGGAGCCAATCGATGATTCTCTCTCATCATTGAGGTTTCTCTCTCTCCCTCCCCCTTCCTCTCTGAAATCAATAAAAAATATATTTTAAAAATTAGTCATTTAAAAGTGGGTTTTAGTATATTTGCACGATTATACAACCACCACCACTAACTCAAGAAATTTTTCATCATTTCAAAAAGAAGCCATGTGCCAATTAGCCCATCACTTCCTATTGCCCAGCCCCTGGCAACCACTAATGCACTTTCTGTCACTATGTAATCACCTCTTCTGGACATTTCATATAAATGGATTCATACAGTGTGTGGCCTCCCCTGTTTGACCTCTCTCCCTAGCATGATGTGTGCCAGGTTCATCCATGTTGTAGTGCTTGCCATTGTTTCATTCCTCTTGGTGGCTGAGTCACACTTACTGTGTGGATCCACCGAATTTTGTTTGTCCGTTCATCCATTGATGGATACTTCGGTTATTTCTACTTTTTGGTGAATGTGACCAGTGCTGCTGTGAACATTCATGTATACGTTTTGGTGTGGACATGCATTTCATTTCTCTTGGTCTATACCTAGGTGTGGGATTGCTGGGTCACCTGGTGAATCTATGTTTAGCTTTTTGAGGAGCCACCAGACTGTCTTCTGCAGCAGCTGCACCATTTCACACCCCCACAAGCAGGGGTTCCCATTTCTCCACCAACACTCATCATTTCCCTTTTTATTTTATTTATTTATTTATTTATTTATTTATTTATTTATTTAATATATCTTATTGATTTTTTTACAGAGAGGAAGGGAGAGGGATAGAGAGTCAGAAACGTTGATCAGCTGTCTCCTGCACATTCCCTACTAGGGATGTGCCCACAACCAAGGCACAAGCCATTGGCTGGACTCGAACTTGGAACCTTTCAGTCCACAGGCCAATGCTCTATCCACTGAGCCAAACCAGTTAGGGCATCATTTTTATTTTTAAAAATTCTAGCCATCCTGTGGGTGTGAGGTGGTATCTCATTGTGGCTTGGATTTACATTTCTTTAATGACAAATGATGCTGAACATCTTTTCATGTGCTTGTTGGCCGTAAGTATGTCTTCTTTGGAGAAATGTCTATTTAAATTCTTTGTTCATTTTCAAATTGGGTCTTTTTATTGTTGAGTTGTGATTTAAGTATTCTCTATATCTTTATATATTCTGGATACTAGATCCTTATTAAATTGTGATTTGCAAATATCTTCTCCCATTCTGTGGAGTGTGTGTGTGTGTGTGTGTGTTAGGTTTTTTAATTGAATTTATTGAGGTGACATTGGTTAATAAAACCACACAAGTCTCAAGAGCACAACTCAATAACACATCATCTGCACACCGCAGCGTGCACTCAGCCCCCAAAGTAAAGTCTCCTTCCATCCCCAGTCTGTGGGTTGCCTTTTCTTCTCTTGACAATGTTCTTTGGTGCACAAGAATTTTTAATTTTTATGAAGTCCAGTTTATCTATGTTTTCTTCAGTTGCTTGTGGTTTTGGTGTTATACCCAAGTAACGATTGCCAAACCCAAAGTCATAAAGATTCACACCTATGTTTTCTTCTAAGAGTTTAGTGTGGTTTTATTCTGAGGACAGCAGGGAGCCACAGAGGGCAATGAGCAGAGGCAGGAGGTTACCTGAGTTCCATGTTGGTAACACCCCCTCTGGCTGTGAGAGGAAAAAGGCTGGAGGTGAGGACAGGAGAGTGGGAGAGAAGTATTTGGCTACTGCACACATCTGGGTGACCAGTAATGGAGGGCTGGGCTATGGCAGTGAAGATGGAAGGAAGGGAAAGGACTGAGAGTGGCTTCTGGACTCAGGCTCATCTCTCCCACCCCCAGAATGGACCCCGGTCGACCCAGCTTGGCTGACAGCTTCTACGCCATTTCCTATCTGTATTATGGTGCCCTGGGCACACTGAGCACCATGCTGTGTGGAGCCCTCGTCAGCTACCTGACCGGTAAGCAGGGCTTATGGCTTCCTCAGAGGTCACCCTGGCCATCCCTCTGCCTCTAGGACCCACTGGGCAGGAAGAAGAGGAGGGAAGCCCCCATTGGCCAAGCGGTCACTATATACTGGACACATCTGCGCCTTTATGCTGTGCCATCCTCAGGACCACCCTGCACCTTGCAGGGCTTGTCCTATTTTGCAAAGGCGGAAACTGAGACACCCCGCACAGCCCCAAAGATTAAGTTCTTGCCCGAGAATATGGGGTAAGGCCGCGAGGTGCTGTCCGTGGTGCTGAAACACCTTCTCCTCTGGACTTTGGCCGCTACGCATTCCACAGGGAATTCTGAATCCCACAAAGAAGTGAAAAGAGATAAAGAGAAATCAATAGTCATAACAGCACCCGTTCCAGCTTTCTTTCTTTTTTAATTAAATTATTATCTGAGTACATATTTTAACATCCCCCCCCATACATACCCTCTCTCCCCAGAGTTTTGTGTCCATTGGTTGTACTTATATGCATGTATACAAGTCCTTCAGTTGATCTCTTATCTTCTCCAGATCTCCCTACCCCCGTTCCAGCTTTCTGAGTGTAGACTTTACATTTACAAGGCGTTTATTGAGTCTGTCTCTGTGCTGTGAACAGAACCACACACACTGGCCCCTCCTGGCCACCCACCGATGTGTACATGAGAAAACTGAAGCCTGGCTGGGGGCAGAGGCTTGCCAGGGTCGCCCCGTGGGTCACTACCAGATCTTGGATTGGAGTCCATCTGAGCTCTCCCTTCCCTCCCCAGTCTCCAGTTTGGGCCACCCCTCACTTACTGACCCCTGTTCTCTCTGACCCCCAGGCCCAACCAAGCGCAGTGCCCTGCATCCTGGTTTGCTGTGGTGGGACCTCACATCGCAGACAGCATCAGTGGCTCCCAAGAAAGAAGTGGCTACCCAGGATGACAGCTTGGTGAAGGTCAGTCCTGCAGAGGGGACATTGATAGAGCCCAGGATGAGGAGAAAAGAAGTCAGCTCATCAGAGGAAGGGCAGTCTCCATGGAGGGAACAGCAAGTGTGAAGGCCCTGAGGCTGGAATAGGTTTGACAAGAGGGGCATTGGGGAGGCATCTATTCGGCTGAAATGTTTTAAAGCTCCCTCCAGCTGCTGTGGGGAAATATTTATTTTCTTGAAGGGTAACAGGCAGGGAGTCAGAGAGAGAATGGAGGCAAGCATGCATGCACAAGGACTGTAGATGCCATGGGCATGAGGAAGAGAAGTGGATGGAGACTTTGGAGACCGAGGGAAGTGGCTGAGGCGCTGGACAAGAGGACACTGTGCAGCCCTGCCCAATGTCTGGCCCAGGACCCATCCTCCCAGGCCCTCAGCGTCCCCCTCTGGGAGATGAGCTAACACAGAAAAAGGAAGCGCTGAAGGGGTCTTTCTTTTCTCTTCTCCACAGGGGGCCGAGGAACTGCCTCCCAGGGCCAAGAGGCCTCCTGGCTTCCTGCCCACGACCGAGGACCAGCTGCTCTTCCTGGGGCAGAAGGAGGTGAACGGGGCCAGTTCTGGCTCGTGGAACCCCGGCAGAGGGCGTGCGGGTGGCCGTGACTTGCGGGAGACAGACCTCTGAACCAGCCCAGGGCTGGCCGCCTGGAATGGAAACTCATGGGGAAGCCCCACCTCCAGCCAGCAGTTAGTCTTAGACACTGTACCCCTGCAAGCACCCTCAAAACGAGGCTGGAATTTTCCATACCTACAATAAATAGATGTTGGAATCCCCTCTGGAGAACATGGGAAACTTCCAGGTCCAACCTTAGGGTCTAAGAAAGACCCCAGCTCTTTCTGCGAGGTGTCTGAACCTTAGCAAGGATTTTGGAGGTTCTTGCTGCCCCCTTCTCTCTCCCACCCCTCTGTACCTCATTTCACAGGCAGGGGATCTGAGAACTGGAGAAGGGCAGGGATGTACCTCTGTACCTCATTTCACAGGCAGGGGATCTGAGAACTGGAGAAGGGCAAGACCACAGGACAAACCAGAGATACATTGAGAGGAGGACACCAGCTTTTCCTCCTTCACCTCTTCCTTGTTTTCCTCCCTGGAAGGGTCATATGTACATGGCCTTTGACCTGGGGAGCAGGATGGGAGGAGGAGGGAGGATCATGTTTCAGCTTTCCTCCTGTGTCTGGACACTTTCCCCGTCTCATTCATTAAGAACTGTGAGTCCACTTTGCAGAGGACAAAACGAAAGCTCAGTGAGTTTGCCTGAGATCCCCTAGCAAGTCCAGGCAGGCAGGGTCAGGCCTGGGTGCGGCATGATGCTAGGGCTCCATTCAGAACACATCACGAGTGTACAGGGTCCGATCGACCAGGCGAGTACCCATCCCTGGCCCTTAGCTGGAGACTTCATCCACACACATCGAGTAAACGGACTCAGGCTTGATGTCTCTGAAAAACTATTCTGGGCTCCGATCCCCAAGTATCTCTGTGTCTCTTGCCCAAACCTGCAAGTGAATAAACCTGAGTCTTTTTAAAAACCTATATATTTTTTAATTGATTTTTTACAGAGAGGAAGAGAGGGATAAAGAGTTAGAAACATCGATGAGAGAGAATCATCAATCAGCTGCCCTTGCACACCCCCCACTGGGGATGTGCCCACAACCAAGGTACACGCCCTTGACCAGAATTGAACCTGGGACCCTTCAGTCTGTAGGCCGACGCTCTATCCACTGAGCCAAACTGGTTTCGGCAAATCTGAATCTTTAAACTACCAGAGAGAGGTGACCACTCCACATCAAATTGCCCTGTGAGAAGCCACGGCCAGCATGGCCTTCAGGTTCAAAGGCTTGGACAGAGAGCTGACACGCAAACTGACATAAGACAAGAAAAATTAATTTTGAAATTATGGGGGAGGCCCAGGAAAAGCTTAACTGTAGTAGTCAAGTTCCACAGAGTCTCCTTTCCCAGACGCTTTTACTTACTAGAATACACAGTTGCCTTTTAGAAATGCAAACAGACATATCAATGGCAATGTTTAATAAGATTATCAGGTTGTGGGGAATTTGCTTTAGGCCACTGGTTGACAAATTCATGAGTCAGCAGAGCCAAATACCAACAGCACAATGATTGAAATTTCTTTGGAGAGCCAAATTGTTTAAACTTAAACTTCTTCTAATGCCATTTCTTCACAATAGACTTGCCCAGGCCGTGGTATTTTGTGGAAGAACCACACTCAAGGGGCCAAAGAGCCGCATGTGGCTCGTGAGCCGCAGTTTGCGGACCACTGCTTTAAGCCATTGAGTCAGCAGTAGGTAATAAAATGAAACTCACCCTGTGACTATCAAAGGAGTCCAAACACAGCCTTCGGGTGGACTCCTCACATTTCTATCAATTACTGTTGGTCTTGGTTTCCGGCATCTCCCCTCCTGACTCCTTCTGGAAGCACTCCCTCCTTGCTGCCCTTTGCATCTGGTTGGCCTCCTCAATGTCCCTGCACCAGCCCCTACGGTCTCTGATCATAAAAGCTGGCTGCACTTGCCTCTGCCCACACACCTGCTGTGGCTCCATGGCCCCCTGCTCACCTGGCTGTCGAGGCTGCCAGGTTCAATAGAGCCCCTGCCCCATTGATGAGAATTGGACACCAGCTTTTCCTCAGGAAGTGAGTTTATTTTAAAACAAGTTCTTGGCAGGTGTATGTAAACTGACTTAAGGTGAGGGCATACTGGATTCGAATGGGCCCTGAATACAATGACTGTGTCCTTATGAGAAGAGGAGGAGAGCCCTCGCCAGTGTGGCTCAGTGGATAGAGTATCAGGTTCATTTCTGGTCAAGGGCATGTACCTCAGTTGCAGGCTCCAGCCCTGGTCCAGGGCTTGCAGGAAGCAATCAATTGATGTGTCTCTCTCACATTGGTGTTTCTCTCTGTCTCTCCCTCTGCCTTCTACTCATTCTAAACGCCAATGGGGAAAATATCCTCAAGTAAGGATTAAAAAAAAAAAAGAGGAAGAAGAGAGACCCAGAGACTTAGACACAAAGAGAGAAAGTCATGTGGACGTGGAGGCAGAGATTGGAGTGATCCTGACACAGCCTCAGAACTCCAGGACCACCGAAACCGGTTTGGCTCAGTGGATAAAGCCTCGGCCTGCAGACTGAAGGGTCCCGGGTTCGATTCCGATTAAGGGCATGTACATTGGTTATGGGCACATCCCTGGTGGGAGGTGTGCAGGAGTCAGCTGGTCGATATTTCTCTCTCACCGATGTTTCTAGCTCTCAATCCCTCTCTCTTCCTCTCTGCAAAAAAAATCAATAAAATATACTTTTTTTAAAAGAAGAAGAAGAAGAACTCCAGGAAGGGCCCCTAGAAATGAAAGAGGCAAGGAGGACCCCTCCCTGGAGCCTTCAGAGGGAGCCTGGCGCTGCCAACCCCTTATTTTGAACGTCTGCCTCCAGAACTGTGAGAGGATAGCTTTTTATTGGTTTTAAGCTATGGCAGTGACAGCAAACTAATACATAGTCCCTGCTCCTCTACAGCTTCACTTTCTAAGGTCAACAGGGGTCTGAAAACATTACATGGAAAATTCCAGAAGTAAATAATCAATAAAGTTTTTTAAAAATCTTTTTATTGATTTTTAGAGAGAGAAAAAGGAAGAGGGGAAGAGAGAGAGAGAGAGAGAGAGAGAGAGAGAGAGAGACATCTATGTGAGAGCAGAATGTCCACCAGCTGCCTCCTGTATACTCCCTACCAGGGATTGAACCCGCAACCTGGGCATGTGCCCTTGACTGGAATCAAACCTGGAACCCCTCAGTTCGCAGGCTGATACTCTATCCATTGAGCCAAACCAGCTAGGGATAAAGTGATTCATTTTTATAATCCGAGGAATATTAAGAAATGGTTGACATTCCTTGATCATATACTATGAGCCAAGTGGTTTACTTGGCATCTATGTTTATTGAGCATCGACTCAGTAACAAGCACTTTTTGTAATCATTGGGGTTTATTTTTAATTAATATACACTTGTAGAGCAGTTTTAGGGTTACAGAAAGATTGAGCAGAAAGCTCAGAGAGTTCCCCTAGATCCCTATCTCCCCACTCCCAGTTTCCCCTATTACTAACATCTTTCATAAGTGTGTCACCATTGATGAGTAAATAAAAATACATTATTATTAACTAAAGTCCACAGCTTACATTAGAATTCACCGTGCTGTGCATTCTGTGAATTTTGACAAATGCATAATGTCCACCATTATACTATCATACGGAATAGTGTCACTGCCTTAAAAATCCTCTGTAGCCAAAACCGGTGTGGCTCAGTGGATAGAGCGTCAGCCTGCAGATTAAAAGGTCCCGGGTTCGATTCCGGTCAAGGACATGTACCTTGGTTACGGGCACATCCCCAATAGGGGATGTGCAAGAGGCAGCTGATCAATGATGCTCTTTCATTGATGTTTCTAACCCTCTATCCCTCTCTCTTCCTCTCTGTAAAAAATCAATAAAAAAATTTTTTTAATCAATCTTTATTGTTCATATTATTACAAAGGTTCCTCATTTCTTCCCCCCTCCACCAGGTTTCCACCCCACCCTCCGCCCCCTCCCCATCCCCCATTGTCCTCATCCATAGGTGCACAGTTTATGTTCAGTTTCTTCCTCCCTCCCTTTCCCCGATAGTAAATCCCTTTTCAGATAGTAAATCAGTTACTTAGCATTTTCTCATATCAATAATACCTCCACATGCCCAATGATACACTTCACACAAAAGACATTTCCAAATAGGTCCACCAGCCTCATCCAGGCCCCACCCAAGGCACTCACAGATCTACACCCCAGCCCTATACTAACTCAACACATCCAGATCTAAGCCTTCATCACCTGATTCAGCAGAACCCTCAAGTTCCCACGAAAGTTTCCAGCCATGTCTGAGAGGCAGCCGTGGGGCAGGGGCAGGCGAGGAGCGAGCTGTTCCGGGCCTGGCTGCTCAGGGCCTGGCCTCTGTTGCTCTGGTTCGTTCCACAACCAGCTGCTCTGGGTCTGATCACTGCCGCTCCCGACCTAGTTGCTCTGGATTTGGCTGCTGCTGCTTCGGGCCTGGCCACTCCCAGCCTGGCAGCCGCTGCTCCGGGCCTGGCCACACTAGACCCGGCTGCTCCGGGCCTGGCCGCTTCCAGCCTGGCAACTGCTGCTCCGGGCCTGGCCACGCCAGACCCGGCTGCTCCGGGCCTGGCTGCTCCCAGCCTGGCAGCTGCTGCTCCAGGCCTGGCCGCACCCGACCCGGCTGCTCTGGGCCCGGCTGCCCTGGGCCCGGCCGCTCCGAGCCTGGCCGCTCCTGGCCTGGATGCTCTGGCTGTTCTGGGTCTTGCTGCTCCCAACCCGGCTGCTCTGGGCCCGGCTTCTCCAGGCCCGGCCACTCCGGGTCTGGGTGTTCCTAGACTGGCCACCCTGGGCTTGGTCGCCTCCGCCTCAGGCCTGGCTGCCACTGCCCCAGGTCTGGCTGCTCCAGTGCTGGCTGTTGATGCTCTGGTTCTGGCTGCTGCTGCTCCGGGCCCGGCTGCCACTGCCTTGTGCCTGGCCACTCTAGGCCTGGCCGCCGCTGTTCCAACATTCTGTCCTTTTTTTTTTTTTTTTTTTTTTAAACGCATT